TTTTTTTATCGTCAATTACGTTGTTAATCACTGAATAATCAGTAATGACCATATATCACAGCCGAATTCCCGAACAAAAGTCCGGAGAAATAATGTCCCGATTTACTAATTATTTTTGTTTGTATATAGGTAGGTAGTTTTATAAAATTGCGTCACCTAATCTTTATTTATCTTTTATTAAAACTATATATTAATTTATATTTGTTACAGATTATCATTTTTAAAGAGTCGTAATTTATAAATCTATTACACCTAATCACATATACTTATCTAATATCTTTCTTTAATTTTCAGTGAATTTCCCTAATAGTTTGAGTTATTCTGTTAAACGCTCAGTATGTGTCGTTTGTCGATTTTCAATGTCGGAAATCCTTAGCGTTTTCAAAATATCTAATAGTTATTTTTCATTTAATTGTGAAACTATTGTTTGACGCAATCGATAATTGGTAGGGTAGGACATAGTCATCCAACAATATTGGTACCAATTCGTAAAATTTTATTCTAGGCAAAGTTAGAATTAAGCAGCACGAGACGAACGATAAAAAAATAAAAAACAATTCAAAAGATTATCAGGCTTCAAAAATTATATGTAAACGTACTCCGAGACCAGGTTAAGCGTTTTTAAGTCAAGTGGGAAATAATGTTAGGACATGACCAAGGTTTTAGGCTTTCTTTTATTTTTATTTTAAATTTAACTTTAAATAACATATTTGTAAAATAATATTTAGTGTGTAATGTCTTTAATTATATAGTTCAATTTTTATTATATTTTTCCTGTGTATGTTGGTATGTAGTATAAATTTACATTTTTACCAGACTTTTCGCCGGAATTTACCTTGTTGTAGTGATGGTACCTACGTTGGTAGTTGGTAAATGCTACGATGACAGCAGTTATTTCCTTTATAAATAGTTATATTAACTATTGAGGACAGTGGCGCAACTAGGATCTATTTTCGGGAGGGGTTATACATATAAAAAAATAAATTAGCAAAAAAAAAAGTCTTCACTTAATGAAGTGTCTTCACTTTGAAATATTTGACTTTTAAAAACCTGGGAGGGGTCACAACCCTCAAACCCCACCACTGGTTGCGCCACTGATTGAGGAAACTTATTATAAGCTTTAAGTATAACTTAAAACTAAATTTGTTTTGTCTTTGATTCCATTTTAGTACAACAATACTGTATAATACCACGAAATAAAATTTTAAGTTTCATCAATAGATTAAAATAACTATTTATCCATTTTAAACATGGGTCGTTTTCATTTAAAATTTTTGTATAATTATATGCCAAAACAACCCCCTCAAGAGTGAATGTCACCACAATTTGTGCGACATTTTACATTTTAATCGTATTTTACTACTAATAACCTTTTTATAAATACCAAATGTTGATAATAAAAAATAAAAATGTATTTTAAACACGTCATGTAAATAAATAGCAATTTAAATAAAAACAATATTAAATTTATTAAATTTAAAGTTTCATTAACTTTAGAAACAGATGAGTAACGTATATTGTTTATTATTTTTCGAGTTAGGTATAGGCAATCACACAGATTTTAATATTTTAGTACAGAGCATAAAAGCGTGGGCCCATGTTATTTTAATAAAAACGATAATATATCTGTTGTTTTAACTCTACCCGACCTAATACCTAGTTATTAGTAGTTTTTAATTAAAATAAATACGATAAAATTTACCTACATATTTGTGAAAAAAATATCCAATCAAAGCATATCAAATATTATTTATGTCATCATATTCATTCTTGATATGAGCYCCAGCCACTAATGTTGACTTCGAACGATTTCTGAGTGTGAATCCATAAAGCTTCCGCAATCGACTATAGGATCAAGCAATTACAGAAAAAAATGTATGCCGAACAGACGCGTTTGGTTTATTTTTTGTCAAATATAAAATATATGGTATCGTATGCAATTAGCAGGTATAAAGTAATGTTAGTATATTTACTTCTATATCGATGGTTAAGCGCACACATGTGTTAAGTACAAATTTTGTGTAAAATGTGTTATTTAATAAAATAAACATTTTAAATYGTGTATTTTTATGTGCACAAATGAGGTATATGAAATACTCTTGTGACGTCATATAATGTTGTGGTCAGATGTTGTATTTGCTCAGATATCTATCCCATATGTGATAAGAGCACTTATCACATTTGCTCTAGAAATATCACATGTGATAAGAGCACTTACCACATTTGTCAATTTTGTTTAATGACGGTTATGTCATTTAACACATTTTTCCCTAAAGATAATAGAATATTCTATTATAAGAATTTTGTATAAATAGTTATGTTTTGGCTGGTAATATTGTATTTGAATAGCACAATATTATTCTACATTATCAATATAATGATAACAACATAATTTGTTATTATCTTAATACGGTATTATTACATTTAGTGAACTAAATTGTATTGTTTACTTATAAGTTATAATACATAGTTAAATAGTTTGCTCTTTATAAATACAATGACTTCAAGAACTAGGAAATTACTACAGATGTGTAAAGAAAAAAACATAATTCAAACACTTTCATCAAATACAAGTATGAATAATAATGGTTTTAGTAAAAATCGTTACTAAATTATCTTAAATTAAAACAGATATTCAAAACAAGTCACCCCCACACTGTTTTGATTCTGGTTCTGATAGTRGTAGTGTTAATTATGAAGACTCGGGCTCAAGTGACTATTATGTACCAACATCAATGGCAATTACAGATTCTTCATCTGATGAAGATGTAGATATGCCAAATAATTTACCTGACACAGGTATTTTAAAATTGTATTATAATATGAATAGCCTCTTTTAGTTCTTTGAAGAAATCCCTACAGCAAAAAAAAATATTTCAAACAGGGTCTCTGRCTATGATGATGAGTAAAAGTGTRATTGAAAATTATATGAATTTAAAAGTGCAATTATTACAGACATTCAATTTTATTTTAGTTAATTTAAAATTTAGTTAAGTATTAGGTAAATACTTAACTTAAATTTAAACCAAGGGAAGCATTTTTTTTTTATTTAGTATCTAGTAACAATATCTTGTCATAAATTAATATTTTAAAACTTTAAGACTTAAGTTCCTTACTTTTAAAAGACTTGACTATGTTATTACCATGAATTGTAATTGTTTAATAAGTTATTATGTAGTGACAAATGTGATAAATACATTAATTACCCTGCCATTTGTGGTAAGTGATGGCTTAATTAATTTATATCAATTATCCTAATTTTRTTAACATAATTAATGATTTTATTTTGTTATATTATTATTCACAGGAAGTTAATGATTTTAAATATAATGTATTTGACTAGAAATTGTTTTGATTATTTCTTCTTACATCCTTCTAAATCTTTGAACGCCATTCCTGAAAAATGCATAAATGTGTACATAACACATGTGTGCGCTTAACCATCGATATATAACTACGTGGTCTGATAAAGGTCAACAATTCATTTCCCCCTCCCCACTCTACAAAAGCTGCATGAGCACGCTCTTGTGCCCAAGTTCGACTTSCAGAGAATACGGCGAGAAATTAAAATTAATAATACTCAGCGGCGCCGAATACTATGTTTAGGCGGGGCAACCACCCCATCTTTGAAAGTGGGTGGGTTGGTCGTTGGTGATGGTTATGGGTGGTTGTGGGTGAAGGGTAGGATATGATTGTGATGTATGAAAATATAATTCATATAAGAAAATATTCTCGAATATCAAAAACCGATGCGAATACGTGATTTAGTAATAGGTGTCTTTGGGTGGGGTGGGTTATTAATTTTTATACTTTGTCCTACTCCTACCTACCTATAAAAATTGAGTTCGGTACCACTGAAATAGGTAATACCTTAAAATTGCTTCGATTCAATTATTATCATGTGAACTGTAAATATTCTAATATGGAGCATAAATCAAAAGGAAGAAATCGTTTGACGAAAATGAAAAATTAAGAGGACGTCTCATGGAAACGTTCAAACGTGTAGACATGCAACACTCGAGAGGTATAGCGTTTTCAGTCATATAGCCGCCGTCGTGGCATAGTTTACCGTAATTTTCCACGGTTTTCTTAAATAAAACATACTTAACGCGTTCAAAGAATATGTGTTACTGAGTGGTTTTATTGTAAAAATCCTCACGAACAAAATTGTAGAGGAGATTCATATATCTGGTTTCGTAAGAAGCCCGATTATTGATATCTTTAAGACTTCGTATAACATTTCATGTTTAATCATGCCCGTTTTTTTACCTTTTAATAGAGAGTTATTTTTAAGACTTGAAATTTAAAAAATCTGAGTTCTTACGGAACCAGATTTTAATCTCTTCTTCAATTTTGTTCACAGGTGTTTTTACAATGAAACCACTCAGTAATAACCTATATTCTATTTGATGAGACGTCCTCTTAAGTCATGGCCATCTATAATAATTCATGTTTCTACTATTCTACTCCARAAATAGAACTTGATATTTGCCATGTTCTTATTCCCAGACACACTCCTCAAAACTTGAATTATAAAATCATAGAAATAGTAATACGACGTTTATAATGATTATGTTTATCAGGAAATCGTGTGTATGCGGTTAGGCTATTCAAATTATATTGTATGATTGATTTATATATAAATTGAAAGTTTGACTACTATGTAAATTGTAATAAAACATCATGACAGCCAATGAATAAGTGTTCGAAATACCAATTGATTTATTACCAACAATAACTAATTTATAGAAAATTCTTTAATGCAGACGTGTACTTACCCAGTTCATACGATCATTATCGATTGACAGTAATTGTACAGTTGTTATGTACCTACCTAGTGGCAGTGTCATAGCCAGGAATTGGGGAAGGGAAAGGGGCTATAGCCGGCCCCTTATCCCCTGACTATGTCTCTGCCTAGTGATGGTTAGTATAAATAAGATTGCAGAGTAGGATTGATTGAGTAGATAATTTTTGTATGTAATCAAATTAATATTCTCTTGTAGTGTAAAATGTTTTATTAGAAATACATACATTTAATAATAATAGAAATATATAGGAATCAATATTACGCATATAAATTGTCTTTAAGTTTACATAGTAACATAAACAAATTTTTTTCGCTGTATACAAATGTCTAAAATATAATATGTAGAACTCCAGGGTTAACGTGAGCATTAATAGTTCTCCCTGTAGCATTATTCAATATTAATATTATCATAAACAATGCACAGAAAAGGATGCTGGTCCTGAACGACTAGTTGTAGTCACCTGGTACACGCTGTCGTAGATAATAATATTAAGGTCTACTGTTGTTCCATGTCACTGATAGGTGATGGTGAAATGGACTTGGACGTAGTCGCCGCCTCAGTGTCGGGTTGTTGGTGTTGTTGTGAATCTCTCAYCTGCTCCAACAGCTTCATTTCATACTTGAACAACACTTGTTCAATGTCTCGCCGGGCCATCAGCTGAAGAGCCTTGTCGGCTTTAAGGTTACGCATCCGTTCGGCCACATAGTCCGAGAATGTGTTGAACTCATCAGACGGCGGTGCATCGGGCCTGGACATTCGCATCATCTTCCTGCTGCTGTAGCCTCCGCCATCGTCTTCTGAATAGTTTCCGCCTGTTGCTGGCTGYATACCRCGGTATTTTCTACACGACGACCATGTTTGCGGTTCTTGGACGTCCACAATAGGTTCCTGGTTGTGGTAATCGTCCATGGACTCGTGCATCATTGAAGTCAGTACGCTGTCCGCCTCATAGCCACTTGCATTTGTTTCGTTTGCTTCTGCATAACTGTCCTCGGACGTTTGACTCCAGTTAAAATGTTGATTTTCTGCGTCCATTTGCTAAAACATAATATTTATACACTTTAATACGAATTTACGACATATGCAATCGCCAATCTATAAACGAGATGTATTATAGTGAACGGATATTAATATACATGTTTAACTACTAATTAGTACGCTTTACTATTTATAACATCAACTTTAGTCATAATATTATGTTCACAATTTTATTATATATTTGGTTTAAACATATATTCAACATTATAGGGTGGTACCTATAGTTTGATTACGATTAAAATTTTCACTTTTCAGTATTTTATTTCTTACTCTACAATACCAAAACTTTGAAAATATATAATATTATGTTCATTCCTCAAACGTAGCTAGATGTAGCTGTTTAGTTTTATATTGCAATGCTTTACAGCTTACACTAATATCCTATACAAAAGTTTTTACATATATTTTTTTTTATCACAATTTGCATTACTATAAACATCATAATATTATGATACACGGTATTACTTCAGACGCTTACTGGCTTACTTTAAGCAGAAATTGTGTAACTTTGTAACSATAACTATTATGATTTATAATAAATTAGACAACAAACAAWAAAAAGACGTTTTAATGAATTTTGAAATTAATCATTTTCAAGCTTTGATTATTGAGCGATTATTGTTCATAAATACGCTTTCATATTTCCAGCATATACTTAATATTATATATAGATGACATAATGTCGATGTTCTGTCTYATCTCCCATGGTCTTTGAAAAAATTGGACCAGTTTAAAAAAGTTTCGTATTATATTAAACAATGTAAGCTAATGATTAATATTATAAAATAAATTTCAACAAATTCAATTCGAATAAATTTCAAAATGCCATTCCTTTGAACTTTGCATTTAAAATTTCTAGTAAAATTGATTGCGTTAGTCGTATAACGTTTTACGAACGTCTTAACTAGAAAAAAATTAATTTTCATCCATTTAAACGATCTTTAAAAACAAATATTTAATTGTTCAATCGAYTATATATTTTAATAACGTCTAGTATAGTCGGTCTAATGGTTATAGATCGATAAGGTTTTTAGGAAAAGTCGTGTGACGCAACAATGGCGGAGACACTACTAAAATTGCGCACTGATTCTTATTGTATACAGCTGYTGCCCTGCGGTAAGTCGTTTTGTTAATTATATTTTTTTAATATTATGTCTATAYCGTATATTTTTTGTTTATTAATTAAAATCGTTTCATTATAGTTATTATACGGTTGATATAAAAATAGAAGCCAYAAAGGTCACGTAATGCTGTGAAATAAATTATGAACTGACATTAATATAATATATATTATATACATGCAATATAAATAAACACGATATTATAACATTAATTCATCAAGACTCTAATAATTACTGCATATTTTTAAAGCAATAGTGAAATAAAATTAAGCTGCTGAAAATCGACACAGTATAAGTGCTGCCAATCTTCAATAATTCCTGCTGCACAATGAAAGAAGGGAATGTTTCCGAAGGTATCTGTATATTATTTGAATAATTTTGAGTGGGTCAATATGAATACTTTTATCTGAATTCCTCGGTCCTATTTAAAGTCGTTATCGTTTTGTATGATGCGTTAACACTTCAGAAGTTGAAAGTCATATCGTAGATATATTACACGATATATACTGCAAACTAAGTTCCGAATATGATTAATTTTACATTTAACTATAGGTCAATTATAATATCAATTAATTATAAGAATTTACAGAAACGAATTTATTTTTAAATCAAATACATTTCTCCAACTTACAATTACTCTACATGTACATAATATTGTACATAATACATGTACCTAAATTCGTTCATGCCAAGTCATTAACAGAGATCGATGACTGTTATATACGTTTTAACATATTAATCACACTGGGTTCGATAAAATATTTTTAATCTTTATTGGTATTTATATAYAATTTCATAAATAGCGAAAATATTTTTTTAATTACCTATAACCACGATATTTGATATGAGGATTGTTTTCAAACATTAAATGGTTAAATTTTTTAAAGAATATTACATCAATACGTCATAAAAATAGAGGAAGGAGTGGGAGTTTACTCATCTTTAACTCTGAATGACAATAATAATAATGTACAATAAGTGGATGAGATCTTCCTTCGTATAAATTTGCTTTTAGTTAAAAAATGTCAGAAAATATATGCACCAACCTGTGGTAATAATTTATTTCAATAACTTAATGCGATCCAAAACACATTAATTCATTGTACCACACTCATAAACAACTCCACCACAGTCCACAGTCATAAGCTTTTTAGTGGGTAGACCAATATAAATTGTATAATATCTTACCTACATATTGTTATTGGTGTAATAAAGATATTATCATTATAAATTATATTRTGTTGATATTAATAAAATATGTCAACATTCTATATAATATATAGTGGCCAGTAGGTATATGTCATAATATTTTAAGAGACTCTGTATCAGTGTCTATGTAGTACCAATATTATACGTATTTATTGTTAAAATCATTAAAATTAGATACTCAATTTATTATTAAGAGATAAAATTGATTATGTTTGTTGTTCAATTGAATATACAAAAATATAAAAAATAAGGTAAACATTTGTATTTCTCAATTCGTTAACAATTTTAACATGTCCAATTCGCGTAATGAAAACAGTTATCTTTCAACAATGAATGTTTATGCTGTTATTATAATATGAATTTATTCATTTTAGAAAAGGTTAAATCACATTAAATTGGGTTTCAGAAATACAAATACTAAATACATGTAAATAAATAAAATTGCGTTTTAATAAAACTAGTGCCTATAAATGGTAAATTTCAAACTGCAGCCGAATGAAAATTGTGATTAAATCGACAAATAATGTTAATGACGTACAAACAATTAATAATTAATCCTAATGCGCTTGATAAACATTTTAAATTTATTTTTCAAAACCATTTGTTCTAATCAACAATAAGTTTGCATTGCTGATTGCATTATTTGAATCGTGTAATTGCCAATTGGTAGCTTTCATTTCGTAGTAAACAAAGACTGTATACATATAATAGATACATAAAGTACTATTCGGACATTCGGTATTATTATACTTTCATAGTAGGTACATACGATATGGTCTACAATAACGGACGACGCAAATATAACACCTAAGACAATATTAATCGTCACCAAAAAAAGACAAGTTCGTTTTTAATGATATGTCATTCAATATAGTTTTAGATTATATAATATAGATTCACACATTTATATATTTTTAGAAAAAATGAAGAAATGATTTGTAATGTTATGATATTTTGATAAATTGATTTTTGTTAATCTTACTTTTTAAGCACTTAGTAAGGTGAAATTAATATTAACATTTAACAAAAAATTGTGTGTTTTATAGAGTCCATTTTTTTCAAATCATAATTCATAATAAGTATATTATGTTTATGAGTTATAAGTTTAGATACACCTCATATAATACTCTTATAACGATCAACATTGATTTAAATGTATGTCCATGTTTTCGTATAGAAAATTAATTTATATAAAGAACGGCGAATCGAAATAATGATAAACAAAACGAATAATTTTCGATTTGACGGATTCAGAAGAAAAAAACGTTTTAGTAAAAATGTGACATAACGTGAAAAAAATTAATATCGGACATTACTGTATTAGCATGTTTATAATATATTGAAGATCGCGTTATCTTATTAGAATATATTTGTACCTATCACAAAATTTAATTTATGCGGTAGGTTCGTTAATGGTAACTTATATCAAACTTGTTAACACAAAACAATTAGTTGACGATAGAACGAATTTGTTTCATTAGGTAATCATTACTATTTGTAAACGAGAAAACAGAGAATAAAAGACAAATGGCATTGCCAGAATGACTATTGCAGTATTGCTGTAATATAAAATCTTTAGATTTTCGAACGGTTCATAATAAATTTGATGTGTATCATACTGAAAAACTATCTTTTTTTTTTTCCTATGGTCTCGAGGACCGGAACTGAAAAACAATCTAGAATAGATGATATAATTATTAACGTAAAGACTAAATCTAAAAATAATAAATAGTTAAGAAAAATCAATAATAACACTTCTTTTTRTTTTTAAGCATTATGATGATTTCTCGTTGTCTATTTACCGGGTATTTTCGACCACAACTGTATACATCAGATATCTGGTTCGTTGTCCTAATTAAAAACTTGTGTTGTACACTAATTGTACACTTATACCAATTATAGGTTTTTCATAAGTCATGACGTATCATGTATTACGTAATATCGTTGTCGTCAAGCATCATGAGAACATTTTTATAAATTTATGGAAATATAAAATATTTATATTCTTCAAATTAGACAATTTATTTTGTATTTTAACTAATATTTAGCTTTATAATAAATTATTACTTGTTCATGTTTATTAGCATATTATAATGTATAACACATTTGTATAAGAAATAAATAGTTGTAATTATGTTGTTTACGATATCAGGGAATAATACTGTAAAATAAATATTGTCAATATGAATCATTCCCCATTAAGTACAGTCAAGGTTATTTAACTTGATAAATTTAAATTTAAAGAAATTTTGGTTAAATTTTCTAAAAATTAAATACGCACTGGCAATCAATTATAATTTATAAATATATACATTTCCGTATTTTTGTTTGTTTTGTATATTGTGTGACCTTATTGGATTTAAATTAGTTATATATACCTAACTGATATGGTTTAATTAAGCACCTATATAAAAATATAAAAATATAGTATAAGCATTATAATCTATAATTTATATGTTAAACAACCTTGCAGGTTTGTTGATGTAAAATTAAATTAATTTAATATTTTAATCCCAAAATCYTAAATCGAATTTGTGAGCTCGAGAGTTTTTCATTATATTATGTAGGATTTTTATATAATATCAACCTAGTAAAGTAATTTTATTATTTTATTGACGGTGCCAACCAAAGTCAACCACCATAGGGAAACATGAGCTAGAAATTGTGGCA